TTACTAAAATAAGAATTAGAGTCAGTGATTGGAGTATTGATCATCATTGCTTTTTAAAATCTTATAAAAGTTTACAATATTTTGTATTATATTTTATTTAAAAAATGAAAATTATCTTCTAAGTTATAAGTTTGATCTAAGTTCAATTTTTAATTTTTAACTCAATTCAAAGCATTTTTGTTGTTGTTGTTGTTGTATGCAGTTTCTAGCAAACTTTAATAAATTTTTTTCTATTTGTGAAAATTTCTACATAATTCAAAGGTAATTTAATATTATATATCTTACACAGCATTATTAATATGATTTTGGATGATACAGAACTTTAAAATTACTTTAAAAAATGAAAAATAATTATATAATTTAATTTCAAGATATTTTGTATACCTTAAAAATAATTCATTTTATCCCGGGATTTCTTGTGATCCTGGGAAACAGTTCAATTTTATCCCAGAATCCCAGGAAATGAGAAACCCTAGTTGAAACTATCATATATTGGAGCCACTACTAGAATGCTCTGCCTCTATCTTGCAGAACATAGTGAAGATGTAGTACATAGCAAATGTACAACAGAGCTAGATAAAAAGCAATAGAGAGTAACTTTCAGCTGATTTGGTTGCAAACTTTCTTCTAAAATGGTCTGGGGATTGAAAAACATTCATATGGGAATCCCTTTACGTCTCAGCAATATTACTATGCTAGATATACCAGATTTATAGATAGCACTGTTTAATCTTCTGAAGTTGTAAATTACATGGTTCCAATAAAACACCTCATAGCAGTGTTAGTGCTAATATACATTTATTATTTGTTTATTGACTGTTTAATTTATTATTATTTATGTATTTTATAATTTAATCCAATTTTGTTCTTGATGTTTTTCTTTTGCATATAATCAATTTTTATATTGTTGTATAATTTTGTAAATTGTATATGCATAATTTTAATTTTTCATGCATATGTGGGACAAACACTGAAAAAATGTTGGTTGATTTTTGGGTTCTTTCTCTTGAATTCAAATGTTTTTGTTCTCTATGAACGATTCTGCCTGAAGAGGACAGTTATATACTGTTAAAAGCAGTCACAAAATAAATTATTTTTATGTAACGCTGATAGTCACTGGTATAATTAAGTATATGTTACCTTTATCTATTAATATTTGGCATGTATGGGTATTTAAAACTTTATTAATATGCTTGATTTTTGCATCCTTGAATAGTATATTTAATTCTTTTTTATTAAATATATTTAATAATTTGTAACCAAAAATATTTTTTTTAGACCAATTTGAAATATTTGAACAACTTTAAATATTAATTTGAAAATCTAAAACTATAACTGAAATTGGCTTAACTGTAATATTCAAAACCATAACTATTGAGTATTATAAAAAATTAATGCAGTCATAACAATATCAAAAGCGCTCAGCAACTAAATACAGAGAAACAAAACACCTTTTTTGCCGAGAAATAAATATAATTTTAAAAAACAAACGTTTTCAGCCTAGTTAATAGGCCATCTTCAGGTCGAAAAATGGAATGTAAATGTTTTATGAATAGAACATAAAAATTTTTTAAATCAAAAATTTTACGAGAGAAAAAATAACGGAAGAATATAAAAAAAAAAAATATTGAGTGAGCTTATTTGCTTGGAGGACACCATATATAATGATGATCTGGCCAAACTGATTGATATCAATAAAAGGGTGGTGGAGTTGGCAGAAGCTGTTTGTAGGAGTTCCAATAAGCAATATGTCAAAAAGTTGAAATGGATTATTCACAAGCAAGTAAGAATAGATAATAGGAAGAACCTTAGTACCTTCTACGTATGTGACCAGATAGAAATACCAAAGAAAATCAAGCAGGTTCTGGAGAAAGGCCCGAACTTTGTCCCCACTGAAGTAGGTATTTGGAAAACGTCAGTACAGGAGATTGAGAGAAGGATAGTTGGACTGGATGTATTAGAAAAGGAATATTTTAGATGGAAAGTGGTCGTTAACAAACGGCCGAAGAACAGGACAGATGGTATTACTAGTAGGGACATTTGGCTCACGAAGGAGTGGTTAAGGATTAATGATCTTGTGTTGACAAGAGCAGACAAGACTAAGCATTTGGTTATCATGAGAAGGCATACTTATAACAAGGAGTTGCATAATTACATCAAAAAGATGGAATGTGAAATTGTTGGCGACAAGGTAGTTGGAACTTTGGACAGAAGGGTCAGGAGGCTGGAACGCTCGGGACTTTCTGCTGTTTTACCTTTTCTCAAGAAATGCTGGAACTCAAGGCGTGGAACTCCAAGATTGTTTGCTTTCGCTAAGACCCACAAGACCGGAATGGAGTTAAGGCCAGTTGTAGAGAAATGCAGAGGACCCACCTTTATATTAGAAAAAAGGCTGCACGAATATTTATCCTCACATCTTGATGGTGATAGTCTAGTGGCACAGGATCCCCTTAT